TGCGAAGTTTAAAGCTCACGAATTTCAGTTGTGTTTTTCCCCACCTGCCAGGTGAGGGTTGCTAGATTTTAACAGAGCTCTTCTCCTCCTCCGCCTCCTCCGCCTCCTCACCTTTCGCCTCCTCCTCCTCGCAGTCCAGATCCCAGTGGGCACAGCCGGACCTCCACCGCGAGCTCCAGATCCCAGTGGGCACTGCCGGACCTCAACCGCGAGTTGCAGATCGCAGTGGGCACTGCCGGACCTCAACCGCGACTTCCAGGTCGCAGTGGGCACTGCCGGACCTCAACCGCGAGCTCCAGATCCCCGCGAGCGAGGTCCAGATCGCAGTGGGCATTGCCGGACCTCAACCGCGACTTCCCGCAGTGGGCACTGCCGGACCTCAACCGCGACTTCCAGATCGCAGTGGGCACTGCCGGACCTCAACCGCGACTTCCAGATCGCAGTGGGCACTGCCGGACCTCAACGGGAAGAATGTCAGAAAAGATGTCAGATAGAATGTCAGAAGATATGCCAGATAGAATGCCAGAAAGAATGTCAGAAAGAATGTCAGAAGATGTGCCAAGACAGAATGTCAGAAGATGTGCCAGAAAGAATGTCAGAAGATATTTCAGATAGAATGTCAGAAGATATGCCAGATAGAACGCCAGAAAAAATGGCAGAAGATATGCCAGATAGAATGTCAGATAGAATGCCAGAAGATATGCCAGATAGAATGCCAGAAGATTTGCCAGATAGAATGCCAGAAGATATGCCAGAACATATGCCAGATAGAATGCCAGAAGATATGTCAGATAGAATGCCAGAAGATTTGTCAGTAAGAAAATGTATAAATGTCATGTTGGGGATCACACGAAGTAAAGTAATGCTTTCCAGACTATGTTACCTGGAGAAGTGTGATTGTTTTTTTGTTTTTTTTATTTCTGGCAACATTTTTATCTTGGTGTCATCCAAGTAGCAACAATTTTGAGCTCTTCTCGGCTCAATCTTCATGTTCAGTACTGTATCTTGTGTCCCTGAATGTTTTCTTCCGCCCGTGCTCGTGTGGTCCTGATCATCCTGATTCTATGTTTTAGTGCCAGTGCATGGCTGGGCATTTACACGGATGCACATGGTCGGACTCGATGTGTGCTATACTTTGCCGCCCTGGTTGGCAACGCCACAGCCACAGTTGGTGGTAGACCAATCCCGAGTTTTGGCAACGCAACAAAACCGACAGACCTCGCTGCCGCAGAGCCATCGACCTGCGGATGGAAGGCCCCTTATGCCTGCGGCTGCTCGAATGATGACAATGACATTGCGACCATGCGCCGAATACTTTGGAATCAAGCAGCTTTGGAGTTGCTGAACGCTGGGCTTAGCCAGCCAAAGTACGAAAAACATAGCAACTACACGTTCCTACAAGTGCATGAGGCGGGCTTTGAAGAGCTTCGCCGTAGGTTTGCTGTTTTTTTTGAAAATCAAACGGCATTCAATATTTCGTGTGAACACGTTGTCATCAAGGTGAGTATTTTTCCCAAAACGCCACTTTCGCGGCGCAGAATTCGTGATGTGGAATTTAAGATAGCTGACACTTACATAGGCCCCAGAGGCTGCGGAATCTACGTCTTGAGCGATTGGCAGCTTGCAGCTATTAAGAAAACAAATGGTTGGAATACCGTGGCATTTCCTACCGATGATTTCCTTTCAAACCTGACAAAGATTGGGAACGAGTCGGAAGCAAACGGGCTCTCCAATGAGCTTCAGCGCTTCTACAATATTCTCAAGATCACCGTGGGTTTCCTTGTCCCTTCGAGCGTCAACAAAGTCACCTTTGGTGATTGGAAGTGCAACGTGGTGGGTTTCCACCAAGACTCTGAATGGTCCAGCAGGAGCAACATCAGTGACTTTGAGGTGGTAAAGCATTTTCGTTTCGGCAAGAGTCTTGGGGCTGAGTGGGTTGATAATCATAAACATGTGTCGGAAAGACAAGAGTGGGCAGCCCTCCGAGACATTGACAGGCTGAAGTTATTTTTAGGCCCTAACGTGACAAAGCTCACTGTAAACATGGCTGACATTATGTGTACAACATGGCATCTAGGACGGAAAAGACAAGCTCTGGCACGCTTTGCCTTGAGATGGTTTTGGTATACTGCTGCTTTTACAATGCGGCCCCAACTGACTTACAACTTGGCTATGTTTGATTGTGGAGAAAGCTTGGCTGTGAATTACTTGAAACAAAGCTGGTATTGTTGCTTCTGAAGAACATCATCTCCGCCGACACGGAGCTCCACGGCGGGTTCCAACTGCCGTGAAATGAAACATGATAATTTGTTTTCTAGGTGCCTTCCAGCTGCCATTTGAGCTGCTTTCAAAGATTCAATTCAAAGCAGGTAAGCACGTGGTCAAAAGCTGAGGCTTCATGTGGGTCCTTTGGTCTTGGTTTGCTGGCGAACCTTCTGCTCATGTTCAATGGGAGCCAATGGAAAAAGCCCAGAGATGGGATGAGATTGGATTGATTGTAGATGGGTCCGTAGGTGACAAAACATGTCGAATCTGAATGGCCCCGGCAACCAGGCCAGGATGTGATGTGGAGTTTCTTTCGTTGAGAGGAAGTCAAGCATTTTTCTTGCACCAATCTATACTGGTTGGTGGTTTGGAACATGTTTTATTTTCCATTTCAATGGGATAATCCTTCCCATTGACTTTCATATTTTCAAGATGGTTGAAACAACGAACGAGAACTTCCATAACTTCCATCGGGCTCGCGATATTCCGACAGCTTGGCTTGCCTTTCGGCGAACCAGTCAACTAAGGTGGACCCGGGAATTTGGCGCTTCGCGAAGGCGCTTTATTTTTGGGGCAGTTTTAAACGCCCTGATACGCAGCCAGGAGCATCGTCAAAAAGGGAGAAAACCCAGGCATTCAGACAGATCCCTACAGATCCCTACAGATCCCCACCATTCTTATCCAATGGGTCTGGAGAGAAGGGTTGCATGGACTTAGAAACCGAAAACGTAGGGTGTCATTTCCGGCAAACTTTCCTTGCAGATCTTTTCGCTGCAGATTGTGGTGCTAGCTTCAATGTTCCACGCAGAACAATTCAAAACTTATGATGATCCCGATCCAATTCAAACTCCTTCAAGATACATAGGATGATTGACATCACCAGCAAACATGATTCCAAAACAAGTTCGAAACCTACCGGTCACTTATTCAGGTAGAGGATGTGGAAGGTAGACGATAGAGATATCTTTGTTGTTCTGGATGAGTTAAATCGTGTTAGCAGTTGCCCTGTTTCCATATGGCAGCACATCAACTGTTGCTCTTGTCTTGGTCTTGGTCAAGAAGATCCCAGTGGCAGGTTCTCTCCAACGAACATCACAACATGGCGTTGTAGTTCGCGCGCAAGCCTCCTGGAGGATGCAGATCATTCTCAGCCCTCTTTGGATGTGGCAGATTGCTGGAACATTGGGAACCAAGATTTGAAGATGAAATAATGGTGACCAAAATGCAACTTGTTCTTTTGTCACTGGAGAAGTTATGATAAACCAACCATGGGACATTCGATGTCACAGAGATCTCCACGTTTGTGGATTGCTCAACATAGAAGGATTCAAAGAGGGGCGACAACTGGTTGGTGACTTCGCCATCGAAGGAATTTTCTTCTTTAGCCATGAAACAGAAGGCCGATTTCAAAGTAAACACTTGCCATACCTTACTTCAAATCCAACTGAGATAAGTGGAAAACTACTAACTTCTTGGAATTATAATTTTTCATTTTAGCCTTCGAATGTGATGTTGCCGTTTCTACTATATAATTATATATATATATACTTCTTTTGCGGTACGCTCTTTTTCGTAGTGAATATTGAGCCTTGGGGAGCGCTCAAGAATTTCAAGAGCTGTAAGGACATGATTCTGTTTGCTGATCGATTCAGGAGAATTTTCAGCTGCGAGATTGCAGCGGCCATTGCTAAACCTCGCAAAGGCGCCTTTTAATGGAGGGATTGACTGGCGAAGTTTCAACAGAAACTCACTTTCCTGTGATCTAAAAATAGGGGACGCACTTTTTTCCATTGGTAAGTTCAACATAGTTCAACTAGTTCCTGGACATGGCAGTGACGATCGAGGACAGCCGGATGGCGCCGGATGTGACTGTTCTTTTCATGGCGTGAAAAATGACGCATCCTCCTAGACTCGTGGGAAGAATTGCCGGAACCATCTCTGGAGGAAGCAAATATATTTACATAAAGTAGTACCCGGGCAAGCCGTGTGTTATCATGGTAGCATATGGCAGCCGCACAGCACACAGCAATCTCTATCATACTTGAGCTTCAGTGAAGACAACAGATTTCCACTCATGGCAGGTTTCAGCTGTGGTAAGACCTGGTAAGATGTGAGCAGAGGGCGCGCAAACGCCGATTTGGATTTGGATTGCAAAAGTAGTGTCCATGCCAGTGCCGGAGAGGTGTTGGGAGATGTTGGGAGGTTTCAAACACGGTTTGATTTTTCCATGAGAGCTGGGATCAAACTGATTATCTGTTGGGATATTGTTGCGGTTTTCCAAATCAACATCAGACCAAACACTGTTTGGTTTTCCAATTCAACTGATGTTGTCATTGTTGGGATGGGTTGCTCAACCAGTGGGCAGCCAGTGTTCTGGATGGCCAGCATATGGATTGAAGACCTGTGTCAGAAGTGGGGAAATGGCAGCACTGACCCCCATATGACCCATATGACTATGAGAGAGTCCCACTACAGTTCCAAATATCAGTGAAGAGTGCTTAACATGAGGTTTGATATGTATGCCTAAAGTTGTGCATATATCCATGGCATTCCATGGCTGTATTTATATCATTTTATATCTATATCTTTTATATGTATATATATATATGTGTGTGTGATGGGTGTGTATATCTATGACATCAAGAAATCCAAACAAGATGTGGCGGAACATGTTTCAATCACTTTGAATCCTATGTGAACCCAATAATGAATAATGGGGTGCTGGGTGGGCCTGCAGACGTTAGCTCAGCTTGGCTCGTTTCGGCGCGCCCACTTTGCCAACCTTGCGCCTCATTGGGAGGTCATCAGCTGATTGATATAGTATATGAGCGATTGTGGAAGAAGTTTAAACTTCTCTAGAACAACTTTACATTTTCTACTTTGCCAGACTACCCTCTGGTGTTTTAGCTATGAATGGATGAACCTGGTCCATTTAGTTGGTGGCTTGCCTATTAAAAACGGTGGATTTTCAATAGCTATACCCAAAGCATCCTCGATTGAAAAAGATCAATAGATCTTTTGATTTTTGAACAAAATCAAGTGGCGATTGAAAATGGCTTTTTCAGACAAAAAATCAATAGACATCAAGATGTTATCAGTTGAAAACACGATTGAAAAAACAACTCAATTTCTATTGAAAATTCGATTGATTTTGCTATTGATTTTTGAGCTGCAAGTATGGGGTGGATAGCATTTCTTACTGAACTGGCTTCCCCCTCTGTTGGGCTGGATAGCTCTCCTTTGTCATGGGCTGGATAGCCCTCCATTTTGCATGTGGGCTGGATAGCCTGGCATTGTTTGATGGGATTGATCTGCAGGCATTTCTTGATCAGCCATGAAGAAAGGGGGGGCAAGAAGGAACAAAGTTCCTGAAGTGGACCAAGAGCAGCTCCAAGACACCCTTGTCACCTATGTGAAGAGCCACGGTGTCACTGCTGCCTTCAACCTGGGGAAGTACTACAAGACTGTGCTTGCACAGCATGCAGTCTCAGCTCCAGATCTCTCTGGTCAGCTGGAGCTGCTGCAGGGCTTGGCCAATGTCAGCACTGAGCTGGCAATGAAGTATTCAGATCTGAAAGCAGCAGTCACAGAGACAGTGAGGCAGTTTCCTGGTGTGAAGGCAAAATTCACACAGAGCCAGCAGGCAACCCTCAATGGTGATTTGGCCAGCAGCCTCTTGGTGCTTCTGAACCATGCCAGGCGTTTGACAGACCCAAAGAGATATCAGGAAGCATGCTGCAAAGCTACAGCACAGCAAGGGGCAAGACTGGAGCAGATCAGGGCCTTACTGGTGGGAAGCTCCCCCAAGAAGAAGAAGAAGAAGCAGCCTGCTTCACCTCCTGCTTCACCTGCAATCTCAGTGAAGACAGGGGATTTGCTGGCGATTCATGTGCCCCAGCCACCAGCCACATCTGCTGCTGGAAGTACTAGCTGCTTGGCAGAAGCCAATATGACTTCCCCAATTTCTGTGAAGAAGGCCCAGGTCAGAGAAGCAATCAAAAGACCAGCAGCCAGCTCAAGGAGAGATTGGTTCTGTTCAAAGCAGAGCTGACCAAGGACTTGGCATCAGTGGAAGCAGCTCTGTTCAGCATTGGCCAGAAGGCCCAGCACAAAGCACTGGTGAAGAAGGTGCAGGAGTCCCAGAAAAATGGCCAAGCTGCTTTGAAGCAGGTGACTGCCCATTTGGCTGGGAAGACTGGTGCCAAAACTGAGCTGGCCAAGGTCCTCACCCAGGCATGCACTGCCTTGAAGATTTGAAGTCAAAGAAGCAAATGGCAGCCAAGGCCATGAAGCACTGAGGCTTGAAACTGGTAGATTTAGAAAAAAATGATGGCACAGAAGGCAAAGGCTGAAGCATGGTGGCCGAAGAGTCAAGGCTGCAAGCATGCTTTGGGTCAAACAAGTTCTGGGCTGGGTAGCATCATTTTTTGTTAGTTCTTTTGTGGGCTGGATCGCCCACAATTAGCCATTGTGGGCTCGATAACCCAATAAATCCAAAGCACATCTGGGGCAAGCACAGTTTGATGGGCTGGAAAGCCCAGGTGGAGCCTAATTCCATTGCAGCTTTGACCTCTTAAGTGGGCAAGAATGTCAGCTGAACCCAGCCCTTTAAGGCTGCTTCTCTTGCGGAAATTTGCAACAGGAAAGCTGAGTGCTTGTGAAATCCAAGAGATTGCACACCGTGCTGTGGGCTGTGAAGCCTGGTTGTGACAGTAAAGATATACATTCCTTGGCACAGCTGGGCTCTTATGGGCTGACCCCAGGAAATGTGCACAGGGATCTTGTCAGAAAGTTTTTTGGTAAGCTGCAGTCACCAGCCCCTTTCAAAATCAGAGCCCCAATAGCTTTGAAGGAGGATGGCCAAAGAGTTGTGAAAGCTGGAGATGTCTGGGTACTCCTTCCACACCAATGGATTCTGTGCTTGTATCAAGCAGATATTTTGGAAAGCATGTCCTGCAAAGACTCAGATTTGACAATTTTTTAGAGAAGCCAAAAAGAATCACCACAGATGAGGAAATGCCCTGAACTGTGGCACCCTAGACTTCGCTCACCGATTTGAATTGCCTCTGCCATTTGCACTCCATGGTGATTCAGCACCATTTTTGGAGCATGATTCTGTGCATGTTTTGTCGATGAGATGCTTGCTGACAAAGAAAAGCGTTGCTGAGTCCCAGCTGCTCCTCACCTGTATGCCCAAGCTAACTGCTGTCAAAGAGACCTGGGAAAAGATAATGGAGTGCCTCTCTTGGTCCTTCACAGTTCTGTACAATGGCAGAACACCAAAGAAAGGCTTTGAGGGGCAGGCTGCAGATGGCCCCAGAGGCAAGCCAATGAGGAGATGTGTCCTTTGGGCCATTACTGGAGATTTGGAGTTTTTTGCATCAGAATTCAACTGGCCTTACCCAAATGCGAATGAGATTTGCCCCTATTGCTGTGCATATCAAAAGCAAGAATCTGAGAGGCCCTTTACTGACATGCGACCCACTGCAGCATGGAGAAGCACAATTTTGAGTGCAGCTGATTTGGCGAAGAAATTCAAGCACCCCTTGTTAAAGGTACCAGGGGTGTCAGTCCTCACCCTCAAACTGGACATCCTGCACCTGCTTGATTTGGGAGTGAGCTGCTACCTTTATGGCAATGTTCTACATTCAATCATGAATGGCTTGGGTGGCACAAGCAAGGAAGCAAACCTGGCAAGCCTTAACAGGCTGTTGGTGAGGCTCTATGATGCCCAAGAAGTGCCTAGTGGGAAGAGAATCAGGCCTCTCCACCTGAGCGATATAGCCAAAACTTAAGAGGAATACCACAGTTTGAAGCACATAAAAGGTGCAAGGGTGAGGTGGCTGTAGAACTCTGCAAGCTGTACAAGGCAGGAAAAGCTTCAAAACACAGACTGGAAGCTGTGACTGCTTTGAACAAGATGTACAATGCTTTGAAGGTGCCATGGCAAGAATGGCGCTAAGAGGCTAGCAAAACCTTCAACTCCAACACAGAAAATCTTCTGACTCATTATAGCTGGCTGGCAAAGGATGCCATGCAGGAAGGCAAGCACTTGTACTCCATGACCCAGAAGCATCATGTGCTTTGTCACATGGGGTCCCAGGCAGCCCACTTGCACCCTGCCACATGTTGGTGCTATGGGTCTGAAAGCTTTATGTCAATCATGGTGCGCATGACCTCAAGTTGAACCAGGGGGCAGCTCCCCACAAAGTGGGAATTAAAGCGCCCCAAGAGTTTAGATTTGTGTTTCACCTTGTCCTAGCATTTCAGCTCTGAGGATGACTGTAGTGAATCCAGCAGTGAGTAGTGGACAAAAAACAAAGACTTGCAAGCCTCTGCTGGATAGTCTCAAAGCAAGGGTTGGGCTGTGTAGCTGGGCAGCCACTTGAAAATGGGCTGGATAGCCCCAGCAGTTAAAGAAGATGGGTTGGACAGCTCTTAACACCACCACCATGCATCTAGTCTTACAGCCGCACGGCTGAACACATCTTTTCAAAAGTATAGTTTTCTTTCTGGTAGTTTGCTTTTGGTTTTGCTTTTGTTTTTTTACTCTTGGTTTCTCGATTGATTTTGGCAAAGTATCAAAATCATCTAATTCTATTGATTTAAAGCAAAGTTCAATAGACGATTGAATCTTTCAATAGCGATTGTTTTTTTTCAATCTTGGATGCTTTGGGTACTAAATTACCAGAGGGTCTAATTGGACATGTTCATGGGTACCCTGTTTGGTGTCGGTTGAATCCCTGCGAAGTTTAAAGTTCACGAATTTCAGTTGTGTTTTTCTTGCCAGACTATGTTACTTTATGTTCATGTCAAAGCTTGGGGCATCTTGGGACATCTCCGGGACATGCGAAGCTAGGCGCTGATGGCGGAGTTGGCGCGCTGGCAATGGGTGCCCTGGAAATTGCAACGTTTCGATGTCATCAAAGAAATCCCCGTGGAAAAATGAAGGTTACACAGAGAGAGAGAGAGAGACACACACATATATATATATATATATAGAATTAGAGAGATCTGAGAGAGAGAGAGAGAGAGAGTTGGAAAATCATGAGAACATCAGCTATGACTGGAAGTTTATAGTTAGGATTTCCCTGCACTAAACGACGGTTTTAATGGGGAAATCATTGGAAAATTAATTCCAAAGAATCCCCACGCGAAATGGAGGTTTATAGTTGGGAAAATCATGGAACTAAAATGGGAGATTTTCTAGTCAGCCACTTTTATAACATTGGAGGGATTCAGGGGGTATATAGCCATATCTATCCCTATTTGGTCACCAAAAATGATGGTGAAGAGGGAGGATCATCCGCAAAAACTGCTGCGAGCTTATGATTTGGGAATTCGACTTTTTGTTTGCGCAGCCCCAATATCAATCTCACATGGAACCAACAAATGGCAAACATCATGTTCGAAGCCCAATAAATTGGGGCTTCAGTGTTCAAAAAATCGGCGGCTCAGGATGATGCCGGCACGTGGCGTGAATTTGCTGAGCAACTGCAGGCCGAAGAAATTGGTGCATCCCAATCGGTAAAAGATGCGTTTTTGGGCGTGCTATAGCAGCATGCTGAGAACAACAGTTCTGGGAGAGCCGAAATCCTGATCCAATCATCTCCGGTATTCGGATGCCCAAAATTTCAAGGCCAAGATGGGCAATGTGAATTTTAAACAGCTACTTTCAGGATGGGATTGGATCCCTATATTATCCCTATAGGTGTAAGCATATTGGTATCATATT